CTTTTCCAACTTTCACCCACTGCCCCATTCCAAAGCCACTCCCACATTTTAGTTTTTGTTCTGGCAGCATCACACTCCCAGTACCAAAACTTGTATTTGTCATCTATCGCCGTATAACAAATTAACCAAAACTTGGAAGCTTAAAACTGGAAACATTTATTATCACACAGTTTCTGAGAGTCAGGGATCTGGGAGTGGTTCTGGATATGGTTCTCATGAGGTTGTGGTCAAACTATCAGCTATGGCTTTAGTCTCCAATACTTGTCTGGGGCCTAAAGAATCTGCTTCCAAGCTCAAGTAGCAGTTGTCAGGTGGCTTTCTACATGGCCTCCCCATAGGGCTGGTCATGACATAATTTCCCTTGGAGCAAATCTTAGAAGTGACATATCACTTTTGCCATATTCTACTGGTCACATGGATCATCTCTGGTGCTATATGAGAGAGGACTGCACAAGGGTGTGACTACCAAAAGGCAGGGACTGCTGAGGACCACCTTGGAGGCTGGTTTCACATCTATGTAGAACATCGAAAACACAAATGATTGAAAATAGTAAAGTTTAGCGAGGTGGCTGGATATAAGATCAATATACAAAAGTTGATTGCCTTTTTATATACTTGCAGCAAAGAAGTAGAACACATATTTTTGAAAGGCACCATTTACAATAACAGTAATACACACACACAAATCTATAGATTACCTCGAAAAACATTTAACAAGAAATGTCCAAGGCCTTTATACAGAAAATTACAAAACCTGACTAAGAGATATTAAAGATAAAAATAGATGAAGCCATAGCTACATCCGTGAATAGGAAGGCTTAATGTAATAAATGTGTCAGTTCCTCACAGCTTCCGTCCAAGGGTTAAAAGTAGTTCTGATCAAAATTCTATTAGGATTTTTCATGGAACTTGACAGGTTGATTCTAAAGCATTCACAAGAGACCTAAGAGTCAAAAATAGCTAAAATACTTCTGAGGAATACAAATGAGGACAGGGGATTTACCCTGTAATTATCAAGATTTATTATAAAGCTATATAATTAAGCCTTATAGTTATATAAAGCTATACAATTAAGCTAGAAAGCTATATAATTAAGATAGTGTTATATTGCCTTAGGAATAGACAAGTTGAGCAACAGAATATAAGAGTCCAAAACCAGATACACACACAAATTTTTATTACATATGTATTTAGAGTAAGACTCCTCCTCCCCCATTTCTGTGTCAGCATACACTGCTTATTTCCTTCACAGCACCTTTCACAATCTATAATGTGTGTGTTTAGTGTGTCTCTTCTGACTGCAACTGGGATGGACACTTCAAGGGCGGAGTGTGTCTATCATGTGAACTGCCGTATCCCCAGGGCCGACTTGGCTAAATGTCAGCACAAAGTGGCATTCAATGAATATTAAACAAATGAATGAGAAAGTCAAGAGAAATATATATCTGGAGGATTTTCTGATGGCTGTGAGTCCTTCCTATTCTACGTATTCTAATTATTTTTCCTTGGATCAAATGACAAGAGGGCCATGCACTTGATACAATGTTTCAGTGTCAGAACTGCCTTTCTGAACTGTGCTTTGGTGCTATGTTACCAGCTTTCTTTTACCAATGGTCACAACCACAGACATAGAAGATCCACTTTCTGTTTTCCACTGTACCACACACCTCCCATAAAGAAGACCCATAGGAAATTTTTCTCTTAGGATAAAAGAGTTTTAAATAATGGATTTGTTTTTATTTTATGATCACTGAATTTTAAAACTGAGCATATTTCCTTCCCCTCTCTGACCTAGGAAACTCAGAATTTCAGCTGCTGTGTAGGACTACATGAGATTGATTTCTGTGAACTGTTTTTTTCCCTGAATTTTAATTTCTTATCCACCCTAACTCTTTGCCCTGAGCACCTCAATCATTTATTTTATAAGAAGATTTTCTCCCTTTTTTGCACAAATCTCCTCAGTTAAATATTCAACTTAATCACTCACAAGGTCTACCTTCTATAAAACCCTAGAACACGAACACAATTCACCCAAGTTCTTCACTACTTTATAACAAGCATCAATTTTTCTGCAGTTTCCAGTAACACATTCCTCATTTCTGTCTGGGGGCCTATCAGAATGGCCTTTACTGTCTGTATTTTTACCAATATTCTGTTCATGATTCCTTATATGCTCTCTAAGGAGATGGAGGCTTCTCTCCAAATCCCCTCTTGTCTTTCTTAGTCCTCAGCAGAATCACCTTTCAAACTCCCTCCATGGCAGGATCAGCTTCTTCTAGCGTACACTTCAGGACTCTTCCCGCCTCCACCCAGTACCCGGCGCCAAAGCCACTTCCGCACTTTCGGGTGTTTGTTACAGCAACACCCCACGTCTTGGGCTGCTATAACAAATCACCATAGACTGAGGGGCTTGAAAAGCAAACAATTGTTTCTCACAGTTCTGGAGGCTGGGAAGTCCAAGATCAAGGTGCGAGCAGATCTGGTGTCTCTTCCTGGTTTGTAGATGGCCGCCCTCCTGTATCCTCACATAGGACCTCACATATCCTCACAGAGAGCGAGAGTAAGCTCTCGCGTCTTTTCTTACAAGGCACTGACCCCATTCATGAGGTCTGTACTCTCAGGACCTGACCATCTCCCGAATACCCCACCTCCCAATACGCTAGGGGTTAGGATTTCAACATACGAATTTGGCAGGGGGCAGAGGAGACACAAATATTCAGTCTATAATGTGCATGCTAGGATATACATTCACCATCTAATCCTCACAGCAAGCCATGAGATTGGTATGTAGTCTCTATGGACAAGGAGACTGAGGGCAGTGAGTTTGAGCCAGTGGTTCCAGGTCACATAGCTATTAGTAGCAATTGGACAGCTGGGAAGAAAACTCTGCTCTGGCTCCAAGGTCCCTGCTTGGCCTGCTGTCCAGGTGGTCTAAAAGGGTAGTCTGCAGACTCCCTGCATCAGGACATTCCAGGATGCTTGTTAAGATGTAGGTTCTGGACCAGGCACAGTGACTCACACTTGCAATCCCAGTAATTTGGGAGGCCAAGACAGGAGGAGTGCTTGAGGCTAGGAGCTCACAACCAGCCTGGGCAACATAGTGAGACCCTGTCTCTACAAAAAATAAAAATGTATGGGGCATGGTGGTGTAAGGCTGAGGCAGAGGATTGGTTAAGCCCAGAAGTTTGAGGTTGCTGTGAGCTATGATCACACCACTGCACTCTAGCCTGGGCAACAGAGCAAAACCCTCTCTAAAAATAAAAAAAAATTGGGAGCCTGAGGCAGGAGGGTTGCTTGAGGTCAAGAGTTCAAGACCAGCCTGAGTAAGAGTAAGACCCCGTCTCTACAAAGAATAGGAGAATTAGCTGGGCGCCGTGGTTCATGCCTGTAGTCCCAGCTACTCAGGAGGCTAAGGCTGATCACTTGAGCCTAGTAGTTTGAAGTTGCAATGAGCCATGATGATGCCACTGTATTCTAGCCGGGGAACAGAGTCAGATCCTGTCTCCAAGAAAAAGCAGGTTTCCAGGCACTATCCCCCACCCACCAGACAAGAACCTCTATGAGTTGTGGGAGGGGCCCCATTTTCAGAAGTATCCTAAGTGACACTCATGCTTCCGAAGTTCAGGAATCCCTGTACTAGGTATATAGTTGTATGAACTCTATCTGTTGAGATACTGCACATACCTTTTCTAACAATTTTTTCCTAACCCAACAGATGTTGCTCTGTGTAAAACCTCAAGTCTGCCACACTGGTGACCTTAGTTGTGTATAGATACACAGTCTGCATTTATTTGTTTTTTATTATTACTATTTTTTTAGAGACAGCGTCTCACTCTGTCACCCAGGCTGGAATGCAGTTGTGGGATCGTTGCTCACTGTAACCTCGAACTTCTGGGCTCAGGTGATCCTCCTGCCTCAGCCTCCCAAATTGTTGGGACTTCAGGCATGCGCTACCATGCCCTGCAATTTTTAAAAATTTTTCATGAAGACAGGGTCTCACTATGTTGCCCATGCTGGTCTCGAACACCTGGCCTCAAGCGATCCTCCTCCCAGGCCTTTCAAAGTGCTGGGATTACAGGCATGAACCATCGCACGGAGACTGACATGTGCATTTATTATTAATCATTCTGCCTATATCCTCTTTGGTTAATTTCCATGAGGACATAGTTTCCTAAAGTATCTGGTACTTTTTAGCCCAATGAAGAGTAGTTTTAAGGGGATATATTTACTGTGGTCAGCTGTCATGCAGAGGGGAAATGACCTTTGCTATGTGTAGTTGTGGGGGGTAGAACCACACCAGTGGGTGGGTGCTACAGAGAGAAGAGTGGAGGTGGGATTTCTGGACACTTCCACTGAGTTCTTACAAGAAGCATGTGCCCCCTACAGACCAGGGAATGCTGCCCTCGGGTTGTTGTCACAGGGAAGGAGCAAGAAAAGGTCGGTCAGTATAGTGGTGAAAGCTCAGGGACACCTTTCCAAAGGAGGAACCCCTGGTCTGGGCTTTAACAAAAGCACAGAGGTGCCCCAGGGGGAGGTGGGCAGGTGTCCCAGGCCACCGAGCGTGAGGCAACCTGAGGCTCAGGGCCTTGCAGGACTGAGAGTGGCCAACCCTACCTGAGTGTGTGAGCTGGAGCGAGTGTCGACTCCCTGGGGGTCACTTGCCGCTACTAACTGTGAACTGCATGTAGATAAGGACCTGTGGTTTCCCCTAATTTTCCTCACATTTCATGTCAGACTGGCCTTCAGCCTTTTAATGTATTGGGCTGGTGTATCCAGAAGTTAAGACTTGCACGAGATTAAGAAATGTCATTATTAGCGTTTGTAGGAAGGAGTTTTAGGGCCCCATGACAAGCAGCCGCCAGCTTCCTCTTCTTAGAGGGACTGGTGTCTCGGTGACCAGCCCCCAGAGGCTGATGACAGTAGAGGCACCCGGCCCTTGCAGGTGCCCCAGGGCTGCAGCCCCACCCTGCGGCCTGACCGGGCCTGTCTGGTTGTTGCAGTGCAGGCCACCTGGATGGCCTACGACATGGTGGTGATACGCACTAACCCCACGCTGGCCGAGTCCATGCGCCGGCTGGAGGACGCCTTCCTCAACTGCAAGGAGGAGATGGAGAAGAACTGGCAGGAGCTGCTCAATGAGACCAAGCACAAGCAGTAGGCCCTGCTGCCCGCCCCGGGCCACCCAGCCCAGCTGCCACGCCACCACCTGCCTGTGCGGAGAAGCCACTAGGGGATGGAGCTGGTAGCCAAATACACAGCTGTGTGCACCGTACTTGCTTCTCAATAAACTTATTTTCAAGCACAACCTGAGGACCCTTTCTGTCCTGTGCCGTAAACAAAACATGACAAGTGCAAGATGCAGACGCTTTCAGTGAATTAAACATGTATTTGGCGCCAGTTGTGTTGAGCATAAAGTAAGAAGCAAAAACAGGCCCACACAGGGACAGCCAGGCCGGAGGTCGGGCAGCAGTGTCCAGTCACGTTTATCCGCCTCCCCAAAGTGGGTTTCAAAGTGGGTAAAGGGAGGAGACGCGTTCTTCACCATGCCGTGTCCCAGGCACCATGCGAGGTGCTCGCCTGTGTGATCTCATCTCCCACAACAATCCGGAGTGACAGATGTCCATCACATTAATTTTACAGACAAGGAAAAGGGGAAGTTAAATGTCTTATCCAAGTCCACACAGCTAAAAAGGAACAGAACTAGGGTAAAACTCAGGTCTCAGTTACAGCGTGGCTCGTGGGAAGTGGGGTGGGATTCTGGAGGGGCTGGGAGAGTCCCCGTGAGGCTGCAGAGGGTCGTGAGCCCAGGTAGTCCTGGCCTGGTCTGGGCTGGGGCTGTGGGCAGGGGATACAGACAGCAGAGCAGCACCCACCCACCCCAAGTTCACAGGAAAGGGTCCCAGGCCATGGAAGATCTACAGCGCCAATCAGACCCAGGACAGTGGGGTTGGTAGCTGGGCAGAGCCAAGCCAGGGCCCCAAAAGGCTCTAGGGCAGGCAGAAAGTCCCAGAGGTGAGGGTGTTAGCTGGGGACTTTTTTGCTCCCTCTCCCCCCTTGACAGAACACAGAAGCGTGAATGGTTTCCAGCCACCGCCTCTCTTGGCTCAGCTGAGCTCCTTGGCAAGCCAAGTCCTGGCTCTTGGGGCCCTGGCACTGGAGAGTCGCGCAATGGGGTGTGGGTGAGCAAGCCAAGACAGCAGGTAAGGAACCAGGGCAGGAAACAGCCTGAGTGTGGTGGGGAGGGCTAGGAAGGAGCCTGGGCTGGGGGCAGAGGGGTCGCACTCCAGAAATACTTGACAACCTTTAAAGCAGGAGGCTTGTTGTGACAGAAAGGGAAAGTCGTCCCAGAAACGACAGCAGAAGTTCCGGTCTCGGCCCCCTCCCACGGCCCACGTCCCCTCAGATCTCCCTGAAGAACAGGCTGGTTCCCCGCCAGCCCCTCACAGTGAGGTCTGCAGCCGGCCCTCGCGGGGCAGAGTCAGGATGAATGGACAGAGCACCCCCTTGCTTCCCAGAGGAAAGGGCTGCAGCTCCTTGGCCTGGAACTGAGCAGTCCCCTCGGAGACCGTGAAGGTGGCGGTGACCTGGGGGTTGAGGCAGTAGATGGTGTTTCCCAGCACAGTGCAGCGGAGCGGGGCGGGCGCCGGCAGGGGCAGGGAGGCAGCCCGGCTCCAGGAGCCCGTCACCGTGTTGTAGCGCATCACTGCCGCACCCACGCCACGCAGCAGGTCAAAGCGGTACAGGAAGCCTCCCAGCGCCACAATGTCGCTGGAGCGCCGGTGGCTGGCACTGTAGGGGCACTCGTCCCACGCGTCCTTCACGGGGCTGTACCTGAGCAGGCGGTAGAAGAGGTGACCCCCCGTCACATAGATGTCCCCACGACAGGCCACAGCTTCGTGGGCCACAGGGAAGGTGCCTGCAGGGAGGGGCGCGCGCAAGGTCCAGGAGTCTGTGCGAGGGTCGTAGCGCTCCATGCTGTACAGGCACTCGCCCCCAATGGCATACAGCAGCCCGTCCAGGGCCACCAGCTTGAGCTGGGCTCGGGCCTGCTGCATGGGCCGAACCTGGCTCCAGATGTTGGTCAGAGGGTTGTAGCAGAAGACCTCGTTGGAGCAGACAGCCTTGGCGCCAGAGCCACGGATGCCCCCCGCCAGGAACAGGTAGTTGTGCATGGTGCAGAGACCACAGCCCCGGAGCGGGGCCTCCTCGGGCACCTGGGTCAGGGGCCGCCATGTGTTCTCCTGGGGGTTGAACACGTGCAGGGGCATGCGCGGAGGCAGGGGTGCAGGCCCTGCCGCAGGAGCCTCCTCGCCGTGAGAGCCCCTCGTGAGCCCTGAGCGGCTCAGCTGGTAGAGGCTGGGCAGCACGAGGACCCCCAGCACCGCCTGGCCCCGGCCGGTCCGCAGGCTCAGGATTCGCTCCCGGTCAGCCCCACTCAGCTGCCGGTAGAGCTGTGGGTCTCCCAGCACACGCAGCAGGTTGTTGCTCATTAAGGCATAGGTCTCCTGGGCCAGGCCAGGCTCCCCGTGCTGCTGGGCGAAGGCCAGCACATCCAGGCAGCTGCCCAGGTCCAGCCGCCGCCGCAGAGCCGCTGCCGTGGTGGGCTCCAGGGCCCGTGAGCTGGGCTGCCGCGGCCCCTCCACCACCCCCCAACTCCCAGGCCTCTGCAGAAAAACCATGAGTTTTCGGGCCTCTTTCTGCTTCTCTGTGAGCATCCTTGAGCTGCCTGCAGCGCTGGCCTCCTCCCCAGGTACCTCCCCCTGGTGGGGCCCTGGGACTGCCGGGCTGACCTCCTGCTCAGAGCCCTGGGCTATTTCACGCAGGCTGTGCTTCCGTGGCTGGGGAACAGGCTGTGAGTGCCCCCTCGCAGCGGGGGATGGTGTGCAGCCAGACTGCGTTTGCGCAGGGGGCTGCGAAGGGGGCCTGGGCATTGTAGCTGGGGGCAGTGAGTCTAGACTTTTCTCCTGGGTTCCCGCTCCTCTTGGGCCTGGGGAAGGCCCTGGCATGGGAGCCCTAGTGGTCTCGGAGCTTCTTGGTGGTGGCTGACATCCAGCCTCAACCAGGCCCCCTGCACCTGCCCCTGTGACCATCCCCACTGAAAAGCTGCGCCTGTCCTCAAGGCCAGGGATGGCTCCTTCAGAGGGAGAACCGGACTGTCTGTTCCCAGAGTGTGCAAAAGTGCCAAGATCTGTAGGTCCCCCAGGCACTGCCTTTGGGGAACTCCCTTGTGGCCTCTCTTGCCTGGGGAAGGGATGGCTTCTAAGAACCATTGCAATAAGGTTTCCCCAGGTAGTTGAGATCTGCCCCTCCTGGTAGCCCTTGGAGAGAGCCACACTGGGCTCCCGAGACACAGGCATTGAGCCTAGGGCAGGGGCTGAGGCTGGGGCTGGGGCTGGGGCTGGGGTTCGGGCTGGGGTTGGTGTTGGAGTTGGGATTGGGCCTGGGCTTGGGGTTGGGCTTGGGCTTGGGCCTGGGGCTGGGCCTGGGCCTGGGCCTGGGGTTGAGGCTGGGCCAGGGGCTGGGCCTGGGGTTGGGTCTGGGTTTGGGGCTGGGCTTGGGGTTGGGCCTGGGCCTGGGGTTGGGTCTGGGTTTGGGGCAGGGCCTGGGGTTGGGGCTGGGCCTGGGGTTGGGGTTGAGGATGGGCCTGGGGCTGGGGCTGGGGCTGGGATTGGGGCTGGGCCTGGGGCTGGGGCTGGGATTGACATTGGCGCTGGCCCCACTCTGAGATCCTCACTCTGAGAAGGACTCTTGCTAACTGAAGAATAGGGTGTGGGAAGAGTCGAGGGTGCAGGTAGGAGACCCAGGGCCTGAGCCGCCTGCGGAGAAGCGGAGGGTGGGCCGGGCTCACGGCCCCGAGGCGGGGGTGTGACTGACCGGCTCTGTGCGGGGCTGCTGCGGGCTCCTGTCCGCTTCCCTCCCTCCGGAGGCCGCGTGGGGCCCTGGTCAGGGACCCGCCCTTCTCGCCAGGACCCGCTCCCTTCTCCGACGCTGTGGTCCCCCCGTGTCTCTGTCCCACCCGGCCCAGGGCCGAGGAAGGCGTGGGCGCCTGGGGAGCCGGCGGCCCGGGCTTCGCCGTCGCAGGCCCCTGTGGCCCCCGGCCACTGCCCCGTGGAGCCTGGGACCCGGCTGAAGGTCCGGGTGACCAAGACCTCCCTCCTGGCCCAGGGCCAGCCTGCCTCGGGGGACGCGACGCCCTGAGCCCCGGGGGGCAGCGGGGAGCCCGCGTCCACAGCGTCCCACACGCTCGCCGCAGCGCGCGGCTTTGGGGGGCGGCGCGCTCCGTCCACCTGTCCCCGCCGGCGGCCGCGGCCCCTCCCCAGCGAGCCGCAGGGCCCCGCGCCGGGCCGCCAGGGGCCGGTGTCCTGTTGCTCTGTGTGCACGGGGGCCTGGCCAGCCGGCCCCTTGACACTGCCTGGGCCACCTGCCTCGGCCTGCACCTCCGCGTCGCTGCCCGGACTCCGAGGAGTGAAGTGGATTAGGAGAGGGGCGGATGTCCCCGCTGCTTTGCTCCTACCCAGGAGGGCAGGGCCTGGCCCGGGAGGCTCCTTCCCTTTACCTGCTGAGGCGCCATTGCCATGCTGCTGTCCCCGGGCCCCTCCGCTGGCCACCTCGCCAGCCGTCTTGAGCGGAAGCCGGGCTGTGGCGGCCACCCCTCTGCCTCCTGCTGCAGCGGGACTGCCCTGGCCGCGTCCCGGGAGGTCTGGCTTCTGCTGCCCTGAGTCCTGTCCCTTGCTGCCGCCACTGACCTTGGACTGCTGGGGCAGGGCAGGCACCACTCCTCCTGCCTGCGGAGGCTGGTCGCCGGGGGCTGCGGACGCTGGTCCTGCTGCCTCCTGGCCCTGCTCAGAGCCAAACCAGCGCAAAGCCAGTGCTGTGGCAGCTACCACAGCCAGCGCCAGCAAGGCCAGTACAGCACCGTCCCAGTCATCGTCACTGTCCCCATCCCATCCCGAGAGGGGACCATCCGGCTCCAAGGTGCCCTGCGTCATGGTGCCGGGCTGCAGACCCAGTGGCAGGAATGGCGGCTGGCGGCCGTGCGCCTGCACAGAGGCACCAGCAGGCACCCACCCCAGGCGCTGCCCAGTTAAGGTGGCCCTGTCCTCTAGGGCCTCCAAGGGGGTGGGGCACCTGCTGCAGGCAGGCCTGGGGGTGTGTCAGGAGGGCCCCGCCTGAGACACGGGGAGACAGGGCCAGAGCAGCGCCAGGAGCCGGGGGTCTGCAGGCGCCCCATGGGCTCCCGCCCCCTTCTCCTTTCCACAGGCCCCAGGTCAAGTGTCAGGTCCCTGAACGCGGTGCCAGCATCCCTGCCGACCTGCTTCTGCCTGGCAGACCCTCACACCCCTTGATGTGTCCCACTGCCTAGGGTCCCTCCTCTGAGCCTGAGTCCAGCCTCGGGGGCCTCTGGCAGGGAAGGGTTACCCATGGGGAGATGCTATCTCCAGCCCCAGCAACCTGATGCGGCCCCGATGAGGTTACCAGAAACCAGAGAGGCCACTACCACTGTGGGCCGGTGGGGGGAGGGGGACGTGCCCGTGGGGGTCTCCCAGGCGGGCCTGGGTCCTGGCAGTGGGCACTGTCACCGCAGGTGTGAAGTGGGGGTTTGCATCAGGACGCAGCGGGAGGGCGGAGGCTGAGACTCCCATGCCCCCCTCCCAGCAGCTTCTGGACTTTCCTTACCCCGAGTTCACCAGGGAGGGGACGGGGTTTCCAAGTCAAGAGAAAAAAATGAATGGAATAAAGAAAATCCAAAAGTTATATTTCCCTCCTTAAAGCCAGGCTTACTTCAGCCCACCTGGACTTTCCAGGACCTCCAGGGTCCCCCTTCATCCTTCCGGACTGTCTTGACTGCCCAGATGTGACTCTCGCCCTGACCCCGGAGAGCCCTGCGCCCAGCCTGCCGCTGCTCCAGTCACGGCCTCAGCCGGCACCGCGTCCTGCAGAAACCCCCGGCTCCGGCCCGGGTGCTCCACCCGCCCGACTCTGCGTCCTCGTCTCAGCCCCTCCCTTATCTGAGCTGAGGACTCGCCCCCCAGACGGGCAGGTGCTTCCCCAGGTGTGTGGGTTTCCTGGGGAGGGGCCAGTCTCCCTCCGCTCCTCACTGAAGCCCATCTCAGGAGTGAGTCTCGGGAGAGGCGCCAGGTGGGGCCCAGACCTGAGAAGGAGCCTGGAGTTCCTGGGACAAAGGCAGGCCCCCCCAGGAAGGCTGTGTGTTTTTTTACCTTCCCCTGGGACACAGTAGGCCTGGGGACTCAGGCAGCACGGAGATGGCCCAGGAGTGTCCCTGGCACCCAGCCTGAACTTGAAGCCTCAAGTATCTTAGCTGGTCTCGTCCCTGCTCCCCCCTCAACTATTAGATGACAGTGAAGGGGCAGGGGTGGGCCCCACATCTTAAGGTGGACCTCAAGGTGAGGGAGGGCTTTCGAGGCACTGCCCTTATTTCCTGTTCCAGGCTCAGGCTCTGCCTGTCGGTTAAGTTTGGGGTCCAAAAACCTTCAGAGGCTGGAGATGACACCCCCCACCTACACCTCCTTATAAGCCATGCAGGGCCCTGTCAGTCAACTCCACCCGGTTTGCGAGCCCCAGGCAGCTGTCAGAGGCAGAGAGGACAGTGGGGAGGCACCGAGCACAGGACGCCATCCCCGCCAGCTTCCCAGGGCGTGAGGACCACGATGGGCACTGCGGACACACGGCTGGCACGGAGTGCTCAGCCCGCCCCCTGCAGAAGACAAGCACCTCCCCTGTCAAACCGCCCCTGCTCCAGTCACAGCCTCAGCCAGCACCGGGGTCCTGCAGAAACCCCCTGCTCCAGCCCCGGGTGCTCCACCTCCACCGCGGTCCCTTACCTGAGCTGACGACCCGCCCCCCAGACGGGCAGGCGCTTCCCCAGGTGTGTGGGTTTCCTGGGGAGGGGCCTGTCTCCCTCTGCTTCTCACCGAAGCCCATCTCAGGAGTGAGTCTCGGGAGAGGCGCCAGGTGGGGCCCAGACCTGAAAAGGAGCCTGGAGCCGGGAGTAAAGGCAACACTTTGCCCTGTGTGGAAAGACTCCCCCGCGGGAAGGTGGCTGAGGACACGTCACCTCCCCGAAGTGTGGCAGTTTTGCCTCCTACCTTTCCAGAGAGAGGTAGAATGCGGCACTGCCGCAAAGGTGGCAGAACATCAAAAGCGCATGAGGTCACCTACACAGATTACAAAACATAAATGATGGCTCTACCTGTGCTGTGATAATGTAAACATCACAATTTACCATCAAGGAAAAAAGTAAAAATCAACAAAACGGGTGCCAGGGAGAGCAGCTTCCTGGGAGCCCCTTCAGCTGCCTGCTGAGCCAACTCGGCCGCTGGAGGAAGGAAACCTGCCAGTCTCTTCTAGGAGGAGAGAGGGATCTGTGCCCACGTGCCTGACGCTGCTGTCCGGAGACAACGCGGGCACAAGACTGGGCGCAGCCCCGCACCGTCAGCTCCTGCGATGGGGAGGGAGGGCACAGCGCCCGCAGGAACCGTCTCAACCCGGCCACCCAGCCTGGGCCCAGCTGGCCCCGCCACCACCCGGGCCTTTCTGAAACATTTAGCAGAGGAAGCATATGGCAAAAGAAAGACATAATTCCAAATGGAGAGCAAAATACAAATCAACAGTCAATACACATAAAATATGTAGAAAGTAGCAAACCCCTTCAAATGGAAAGTTTCTCCATTATTAGGATCTTTTAAAAGCAAGAAATATTGTATAAGCAGAAAGGACTATATAAAACAATGTCATATTATATAATCTTATTTATGTTTAAAA